TCTCTCTCTCTCTCTCTCTCTCTCTCTCTCTCTCTCTCTCTCTCTCTCTCTCTCTCTCTCTCTCTCTCTCTCTCTCTCTCTCTCTCTTTTCTCCCATGTGAGGGACTGCTCGGACACTTCGGACGAGAGAAGAGTTACGATTAGTATATAAGACGGATGTGGAAAGGCTACGTAGCGCAAATATTTCCCCTGACGATGGCTGCGACGGCGACGCAGCCGAAACATGTCGGGAATTCTCGCCGCTTTGCTTCGATACTTCACGATTTATCTGAATGAAGAAGCATTCTTTTGCGCTACTCGAGTGTTTTCTTGTCTCTACCTATCTCCTCCTCTGCCCATCACCACTCTCTCCTCCATCCTACTCCCAGCATGAGTCTATGTGCATGAGTGATTCCTTCCCTCATATTGGCCAATGAAGTTTTGAGTCGATCGAGCTCTGCTCATGACTCTCATCTCAATCTTCGAGTAGCGTCTTAACCAATGTGCGATTCACGGTGTGGTGGAAACGCCAGCACAACAGTGATTAATAGGCCATATCAGAGTATTTGGAGTTCTCAATGCCCGTGCACTTGACATATTGTACCTTCTCTATTTTTTCCTTTTCTCTCCTCTTTCTCCCTCTCTCGCCTTCCCCTTTTCTTTTGCCCCGTGTCGTCTGCTCCTTCCTTTCGGGTACTTATCTTGCGTACGGGTTACGATCATCTAGGGATTAACGCTCCTATTACAGGAGTAGGCTGCATTGTAGTTTTAGCGTACGTTCCTAATGGCGGACGGGGGACAAGGAGGTGGTTTCAATCGAAATTGTTACAATTGCTGGATGTACGGTCACTTCGCAAGATGATGCCCATACCTTGCTCGCAATGCTGGCTACAGCGCAGGGCAGGCTAGGCAAGATGGCGGATATGCTCAAGGCCGCCCGATCTTTAACGGACCTCATGGCCCCCATGCTCCATCAACTCCCCCTCTTTCCTCGGCCCCTTCTCTCCCATCTGCTCCACCGCTTGCACTTCCCCTCCACCCCCTCCCTCTCAGCCAATTCCGCAACCACCGCTCTTGCAAGCTCCAACTACGGCCTCTTCCAACGCTATTGTTCCTGTTGCATCAATCGCGATTGTCCCGTATCAGCCACCGCGTGCGGCTTTCGATGGAATGAATGGACGAGGATGGAACAGACCGAGGGACGTGGGATCGAAAGGCGAGGCTATAATGATCCTACGGGAGATATGGAACGATCGACGCGAAGAAAGGGAGCGACGACGTGAGGAGGAGGATCGGAGAAACCGTGATGAGCAAGCAAGGTTGGCGCGAGAAGAAGACGAGCGACGTGCCGAGGTAGAAGAAAAGAAGGAAGTTGAACGTGAAGCTAGAATGGCACGACTCGTTAGGGAGCAAATGGAGGAGATGGAGGCGAAAAAGAAAGGCGCCTCCGGCGAATCCAGCAAGAAGGAGTGGGAGAAAGTAGAGAAAGTAGAGAAACCTCCCAAGGATGGGGAGGGTGGCAAAAATGGCGAAAGCTTGGACAATCGTAAGAGATATCAGGTCGCCATGGCAGGCGATCTCTCTGCTCCCCCGCAGCAGGCGGCAGGGAGACAACGGGTGGGAAGCGAGGTAACCTCGTTGGATATTGACTTGCTCCGGATGGATCTCAACAACGTAAGGAAGGCGCAAGACGCCCACTCTCTTTTGTTCCAGGAGATGCTCAACTGCCTGAAAACCATTAAGGAACAGGGCGTTGCACTCCTCACCCTGCCCGCTGGCACACCGACTGATCCGCAATCTCCTCCATACCCTGCTTTTCCCGTTCCCCATCCTAATGTTGTTGCTCCTTCTCCTCCTCCCCTCGTTGATCCTGTAAACCAGCCGCCCATTCCTGCGCATCAACCTCCTGCCCCCCCACCAGGTGTCCAACCCACTCCACCTCATCCTATGGCTGCACCCATTCTTGCACCTCGACCCCCTGTGCCGGAATCTCCTCCTGCTCCTCCTCCTCCTCCACCTCCAACAGAAAAATTTCCCAGAATTAAATAATCATTCTATAGTAAAATTATATTTTAAATTTTAAATTTTCATTCCATCTTAAAAAATGTCACTCCAATTTTTAAATTTTCCGTCTTACTTGAAAACTTTCCTTCCAAGAATGAGGTATCCCTTCTTATTTGAACTGCATGCTAGAGATGGAATGAAAGTTTGGATGAGTTCATGAAATATTTTAATTGGACTTTCATTTTAAATAAGGATTTTCAGTTATAAATAGGTTAATCCAATCTAAATTAGAAGAAATTTGTTGTAGTAGAATGAAAGTTTAATTAAAATTTTTCATAAACTCATTCAGACTTTCATTCCATCTTGAACAAATAGATGTAGTTGGAAGGGAAAACTCATATTTAGACAAAAACTTATCAAATAAAACTGGAAATCTTAGAATTGGACGAACATTAGAATGATAATTTATAAATATGAAGGATTTTTTTTTTATGGATTTTTTTTTCATTTTTCATTTCTTGTGGGAATTTTTTTGTTGTCCCCAGCCCCCTGTGTCTCGCAGAGCGTGTTCGGTCACTGAGCCCGGGCCTTCGAGAACCAGAAGTGAACAGCCTGGGACTCCTGTTGGTCATGGCTTCTCAGCGCGTCTCGCTGGGATGTTCGCATCAGTGGCTGGGAACGGACCAAGAAGAAGGTCCTCGGGAATCTCCATCAATGAAGGGGCTTCGCAAGACCTGGGATTTGATCGTATCAATCAGGGCAAAAAGACTGTTGTTGCTGGTCCTGGCAAGGAGGGATGCAAGAAGTACATCAAAGACCTGATTGAAGAGCTCATGGCGAAGACCAACCATGAGTTAGAAGAGTTTTGCAAGAAGGACCGAATCAAGTATGTGAATAAGAAGATCACCACTGCCGCTTTGGCCAAGTTGCGCGCTATCGACGCGTATGGCGAAGATGATGATGACGAGGTCTTCGAGGAGAAATCCCAAGGGGAGAACCCCTCTTGATGATCTGGGGACGTTCCTTCCTCCTGGTTTTCCCTGGAACAAGTAAGAGAACGAAGGAGGAATGAAGGATGGCAAGGTAATAGCGCAGTTAGTTTGGACATTTTCATGCGGTTTCTCGTCCTAACGCTGGCATGTTGTGGACAGCTACGTTGGGCAGAGAAATTCACTAATTGTTGGAGTCACTCTCTGGAGAATGGCATGGACATATGCCGATGGAATGGCTCGTGTGTGTATGTGTTGCTTTCCCCATGGTATAAGGCGACTTACATTGGCTCTACCACTCGTCCGCTGAAGGTCAGATGGGACGAACATGTCAGGAGATCCTTGCAGTCTGATGACGGTAGGAACCACAGACTTACGAGATGGTTTCGGAGGAAGGGATGGTTTAGCTATGTCGCTGTCCCGATTGCTTTTCCACCTGTGGATCAGATACGAGAGGTAGAGGTGGCTCTGATTTCTAGATGGTCGTTGGTGCTTAATTGTGTTAGGAGAATGAAAATCCCCCGCCGACGTAAAGGGCGTAGAGAATGAAGGTTTTTTTTACAAAGGAACGGTCGGTGCGAGGCGGAGACGAGATCAAAGGAGGAGTTTGTTTGCTGGGACACATCGGATATCTCCCTTCCCATCCCTGAACCATGGACTCCCCCCTCCTCTCCCTCCTTTTCCATTGTCAGTATCTTGAACAAGCTTGTGGATGAAGATGTCATGCATGTCAACCTGCTGAGTACTGGTGGAGTTTCCTTTATGGACTCATGGGGTAGGATCCAGAGGTCTTTTGGCTGGTCCGTTGTGGAATTTATGAACAAAAAAAGGCTTCTGAAGAATTTGAAGCTCAGTTTTCTGCAAGGTGGAATTTTCCATATTGTAAACCTGAGACGAAGAAAGAACATGAATGGTCTGCGTCGTGATGTGTTAGCCTCTCTTCTCCAGGTCCCTAGCACTAGGTGGGGTCTCTACACATCTAGCCTACACCACCTGGTAAAGGTCTACAACTCCATTGAGATGTTCCATAGGGATAAGTCCCGCACTATTCTAAAGGGAGTGGTAGGAAGAGCACTTACGTCTGTGTGTGGCTTCCGTTGTTTGGCTCCTACAGTTGTGAGAGTTACCCTTGATGCTCAGTTTCGAAAATCTTTAATTAACGATTTGACAAAAACAGTGATAAGGAGACGCTGCCCTGACAATTGGCTTGCTGATTTCCTGATTTCAAGAGTCAGAATAGTATGGACCAAAAATAGGTCCGTAGGTGATATACTACATAATCATGGACTTAAGGCCAGGGTTTCTTCTGATATCTGTTTATGTGGTAAGAGTGATCCTATTTTTCCCAGGAACAGTGAAGGGCATGTGGAACTGCCCGATCTCCCCATCTGCCTGGGCAACTCAAGGAACGTTCTTTGCCCCTCTAGACCTCGGTCTGTTGGAAGGATCAAACGGGCATTGACGGAGGGTTTGTCCCATATTCCAAGCACGGATGGGTGGGTTGGTAGTTCAATAATGATTCTCTCCTGCTTCATCGACAATGTACAGTGCATGGTAGTAACTGAGGATGTAGTTATCCAATGGAAGGAGAAGTTAGGGGACTTGGTAGTATCGCCTATTCACCACAATATTGGTGATTTGTTTGTATGCTGTCCCGCTATCTACCATGCTTCCCTCAGAAAGCTGTATTGGGAAAGTGAGGGTTTTGAGGTAGACGACAGGCTAGAACATGAAGTTTTGGAAACATGCAGAGAATGATATTTTGAGATTCAGGCGCAGAAGCTGGCACCATGGAATAAAAGAGGGTGTTTGGGATCTGTGTATGGGATTCCCAAACACAAGGATGTCACGAGGTGGAGGCCTATAGCTCCCTCCTATTCTGAACCTAGCATCCGAGCGTGCAGGTTGGTCTCCAAAGCAATCAACGGCCTCCTATGGCGAGTTCCGGAGTCTGTCCATTTTAATCTGAAAAACACTAACCTTTTGGTGAAACGTATTGTGCACTTGAACCGTAAAGTGAGTACGCTGACGAATGGCGTGATCTTATCTGCTAGTTTTGACATCAAGGAGATGTTTACCAAACTCGCGCACGATGCCATTATGTGTGCAATTGAATGGATGTGCGACTTTTTTACGCTGAAAGGGCACAACTCGATTAGAGTTAACAAGTCAGGAAAAGGGACTGCGCTGGGAAAAGGCTTTGGGAGAGAGGATGGTGCCGGGTAAAATTCGCAGAGATGGTTCAGTTTACTAACTATAACCTCAATAACACTTTCTCTAGAGCATCTAATCTTATCATTAGGCAAAAAATTGGCATTCCTATGGGTAAGACGTCTAGTCCAGCTCTTGCCTGTCTCCTTTGCGCCCACTGTGAGTTCACCTTCCTCAATTCCTTAGGTAATGACCGTCGAATGATCCAGGGTCTCAGACTGGTTGATGACGTAGCTCTCTTCATTATCTTCCTAACAAATCTGAGGAATCTTTCGAGATAGCTCGCAGTATTTACGAGTGATTTACTGTCATTTATGATAAGAACTTGCACTTGGTGCGAACTGATGGAAGGGATGGGATATGGGAATTCTTGGGTTGTAGAGTGGAATGCCAGACCTCACCACCTGCTGTTAGATGTGAAGCTACCATCAAGAACCAAGAGGTAATCTGGACCAAGAAAGGTATCGTTTTTCTGTCAACCCAAGACTATTGGTCCTATGGACCGAAGAACCAAAAAGTGGGACTGATTAAAGGCATTATGAACAGGGTGCTGACCCACTCCTCAGATTCCAGAGGAGTGGGTATGTTTCTTCTTTCTTTAAGGAGGGAACTTAGGAAGAAAGGTTTCCCTGGTAAAGGAGTTCTCGGAAAATAACAGGGACTGCTGGAAGGGCTGGGTTAAAATTATATCTGAGGGTCTGCTAGGGAGACGAAGCGACAGTTGGGGAAAGAAGTTATCCGGATACGGGTAAGCTATCAGGGACTGATGAAAGGAACCGTGTTTGAGGGTCGAAACAATACGGGATTCCAGTCTGTACCAAAAGACAATACTTCTGAACATCGTGACGGAGGACCAGATGCTACCAGACGAAATGATGTTACAGCATATCACACTGGCGCTACGGAGATCCAGCGCCTTGACCATCGAAGGAGACTTAGCATATGTCGTCTTCTACCAGATCTGATTGCCAGCTCGTACGCCACTCCACGTTTCTACGCTTGCCTGCGATCCTTGGCTTCCCGTATCCTCTGCCTATCCTCTATCTGCTACCCCGATCGATACTCCCGTTTTCTCCATGGTGTCTCCTCTGAGCTACCCCTTCCCGCCACTTTACTCCTCACTCCACTCGTCTTCTCCATTCATCGTATCTGCCTGTTTTCCATTCTGCTACCTCATACTCCTGTTCCTCTCTCTCCCGCCCGATGGATGACTCCGCTCTACATGTCTACCATTCTCTGCACCGTCATCTCGCGGCATTTTTTTGAATTCAGCAGCTGACCTCTCTCTCTTCCCCCCCTCGATATCTCTTGTTTTTTCCCTCTCTCTCTCTCCCTCTTCTCCCTCTTCTCCCTCTCTCTCTCTCTCTCTCTCTCTCTCTCTCTCTCTCTCTCTCTCTCTCTCTCTCTCTCTTCTCCCGTGTGAGGGACTGCTCGGACACTTCGGACCAGAGAAGAGTTACGATTAATATAGGTATATAAGACGGATGTGGAAAGGCTATGTAGCGCAAATATTTCCCCTGACGATGGCTGCAACGGCGACGCAGCCGAAACATGTCGGGAATTCTCGCCACTTTGCTTCCGAATCGATACTTCACGATTTATCTGAATGAAGCAGCATTCTTTTGCACTACTCGAGTGCTTTCCTGTCTCTACCTATCTCCTCCTCTGCCCATCATCACTCTCTCCTCCATCCTACTTCCAGCATGAGTCTATGTGCATGAGTGATTCCTTCCCTCATATTGGCCAATGAAGTTTTGAGTCGATCGAGCTCTGCTCATGACCCTCATCTCAATCAAATGAAGTCTCTTCAGGTCACTCAATTTACAGATTGCAATTTGAAAACGGAAAAAAAAAAAAAAAAAAAAAAACTCAATTTCAACGAAATGTCTGTTTAAACTTTAAAGACATTGTGTTGCAGTCGGCTCCAGTCCATACCTTTTTTCTTTCAATGTAAAGATGCTCCGTCTATATTCGCGGGGCGCAATCCCCAGACCACACACACAGGCACGTCGACTGAAACCAAAATTTACTGTCGCAACGCAGACCCGATCAGATGGTCCCCGTAGGGTGTGAGCGAAGCAGGGGGCGGCATGTGGAGCAGCATCAAGGATGAGAGAAATTAGAGAATGGTTTGTGCTTGGAACAGATAGGGTTAACTTTGCTATGACATTGTGCTACTGTAACAATAGCTATTGCAATTGATTGGCCCGGCACACACACACACACACACACACACACACACACACACACATCATGTGAACTTCCTTCAAGATGATCCAGTTTCAATTCAATTTGCAAGATATGACAAGCGAGATCGGGATCAGAACGACTTCACGATGACAGATTAAATTTGCCATTTTGCGTTCAACTAGATTACGCAAATTAACGTATATTTTGCAATTTGAAATTCTCCAAGAGGTGGGCGAGCTGGGAAGGAACTTGAACAGTGTGCCTTTTTTTGTAGGCAATGTGTCTGTCGCCAGCTTGCAGCTTTGAATTTCGCACGCAACAGTCACTATGATCATACGAAATTTTCGACTGCTCAACTTTTCGAAGGCCTTCTAGTTGAAGTTGAAAACATCGCCTACCATACCATACACTTGGTGGTACGAGTCAGATTCCAACCACCATAGCCCCCATTTTTTTTCTTCATGAAACTATAAGCTAACCAACTGAGCTACTTCCCAATCGATGGTTGACAGGAAGGTGATGAATGATGTGCCGCGTCATCATTGCAGTCTCCTCTCCCCATGTCTCCTCTCCTTACATGTGGTACCGTCGTGCTGTCGTCGGTGAGTCGATAACAATTTCCGAGTACATCATGGTGACACTGAGCTACTTCCCAAATTGAATGGACAGAAATGCAATGATAGAATTGTGAGGACGA